CACTTGATGTGACTTGAGTAGATTGTTTCTTTTTCAGCATGAAAAACCCGAGGCGGTGGTCCAACCCCAGTCATCGAGTCAACCACAACCACAGCACGTATGTTCTTACCTTTCAACTGGCGTTTTTCAACACACAGTTTTCGATTAACCTCTTCTTACATCGATATCTTTCATTAGACGAAATTCAGAGCCTAGTTCTCATGAAGTCCAAATGGAGTCTCCAAATCAAGACTCAAGCAGTCTTTATTCCGATTCCATCTGATTGTGACTCAAGCAATATCTCGGTTAATGTTGTACAAACTTAACATCCACACTGGGTGGGAATTGTGCGGTCGCATTTTCATACGTCGTCACCCGGGCAAGTGCTTCATCTATTCCAAGACCGTGCCCAATAGGCATTTGTTCCCTATAACCGAACTGTTTGTGGAAACAGTCCAAGGGATCCCGTCAGGGAGTCTCTATCGGAGGGGACAAGTGTCTATCAGAATCTTTAGTCTCACCTTGAGTTTTATATCCAATTTATTGTGCATATTATGTGACATATTGTCTTGTATATCATACATGAAATAGTTGGCTTGGAAGGGATTGGACAGGAATATCGGTGGACACCGAACTGTGCGGGATAGTGATACTCCCCGGTTGCCCAGGCCGAGGAAGGGGGTTTGTTTGATGTACCCCACCTTGAGCCTTTGAGTAGAAAGTCTGACCCACAAGGCGGTGGGAGGACGTAGGGTTTTGTTCGGGAATCCTGCCCCTAACCTCTGACTCAAAAGTCTGACCTATGAGGCAGCAGACGGTAGAGTTTCCTTTGGGGACCCTGCCGAAAGCTGATGACTCAACAGTATGACCTTTTCGGTTGAGGGGGTTGGTCTAACCTGAGGGCGCAGGGATTAAGTTATCACAGTTTCATTCCCGATGTGGCTGCCCACAGCGGGTTCCTCTTGAGCAGCACCGGACTCTTTGGTTTTAAAAGTATTTCGACCGTATTGGATAGTGCGTCGGCGGTCATGGTCAATCATTGGGCGATTGGAGTGTGCGGTTTTCGGGGCCGACCTTTTCTAACTCTTTTCGGTCCCTTTTGCCTGGGTTGGCATTTTTCTGAGAACTCAGAAGCACTTTCATAGTCGCATTTTTTTTGCTAGGCTGGTTGGCCCACTGCATGACTTTTAGATCTAACTGCATGTCTAAGCACCACAGGCTTGAATGAGCTCTTTTGAACGAAAATTTTATGTTCGCTTTCTTCTTCTTCTTCTAACCAGGTTCTTCCACCGGTGGATCAGTTTTACGCGATCACTTCGTACAAGATCAGAATTTTGCGTTACTTGGACCCGGCAGCTCAAGTAAGTCGTTGAAAAAGTTCAATGACAAACTTTGCTCAAACAACAGAATGGCTTCTTTAATCGCTTGGAAAATATTCGGATCGTTTCAAAAAGGGTTTGGTAAACAATCGGTGGACACGTTGCTTGACACCGTTTCGCTTTTGACACAAAATCTTCATCAGGTCGAGGTTACAAGGTTGGCCGATTTCTAAAGCAGACGCAGAACCCATCAGTAAGTCTCCTTCTAACAGCAGGTTAAATCGATGTTAGGTGTCGGCTAGGAGTTTTTTACTAGCTAGTGTGGTGAACCAGAGTTTCATGAATAGTCTAGGATTCTGGCTTTTCTGGTTCACAGCGCTTTACTTGGAAATTCCTCTTGAGTGTTGCTTAAAATTCGTATTGGTGAGTTAGTGCCACGGTTGATATAAATCCACACAACGTCCAGCTTTATGCTCTCTGCTTTGTTTACACTTAAATGCCTGGCGATTTCCATCGCCTCAGCTATCAGTCGCCATGGTTTGAATCGTAGAATTCGCTCGAAACTTCCTAATTCTCCGAACCTGTTCCGTACGATGTGTCTGGTGGTGCTTCAACATCGTCCGGTCTCTGACCAATGCCCGGTAGTCATCTGCGTTTCTTGGTGGTCTTTTTAATCTCCTCGTGTGCTTTCCAATGCCGGTTGCCTGAGTTCACCACGTTCAGCGGTGTAAGGCAAGGCTCGCTCTCTCTCGCTACCTGTCTCTAAAACCCTAGGGATCGAAATGTTTCCGGGACGTTCGTTCACAGACTTTGAGTTATTGCCCTCCATGGTTCAATTTCTTCAAAAATGCAAACCATGGTCGATAACCTAAATAATTCTGCCGCTTGGTCTGGCATGCTCTTCACACCCGCAAAATGCAAAGTGTTGCCACAAAATTTGGTAGAACCAAACCCAAGGCTCATGCTTGCAGACAAGCCAATCGACGTGATAGGTAAATTTGTCTACCGAAGCGGTTGTATGAGTTCCAGTGGACTGGTTGAAGATTCAATTACTGCTTGAATCGGGAAGGCCTGGACAGCTTTTGCCAACCTCCGACAGCGATTTCGCCAGCCTGACATCAGTTTGTCTGTCAAGAGCAGGGTTTACACTTCTGCAAGAATCAGCGAACATACGAAAGCTGTCAGTGTTTGACCCATTTTGAGCTGAGTGGAAGCGACTGACAGGTGGATAGTGTGTGGCCTGGCAGTCAATTGTGGAAACGCTAACCAGTAAACTGCCGTCTCCCTGAGACTCGACTCACAAACGATTAATGACACTGTCAGACATGGCCGTCAGTGGCGGTCGTACATCAAAGCAATCCCCTTCAATGCGTAGCCGACCAACTTTCTGAACGAATTGATCATGTCATCACCTTCAATGATTGGCTATGTCTTTCCTGCTTCATCATTTTTCGGTGGCCGAAGTAGCATACCCTTGGTACATGGTTTATAGCTAATAAACTGACTGACTGATTGAGCCGGGCCGGTGTACAGCTCTCTATCTGCTTGTTCTAGGCAGACCTTAGTGTGTTTCACTGAGCCTTAGTCCTTTCAACCAAAACTGAGGATATTGGATGTTGTTCCTTAGAGCAACATCTATGTCGGAAAACACTGTTTGAGACCCAAACCTACTTTGGGTCATCTACTGAGGGATGTGTCTGCTCCCCAGCTGGAGTTTTTTTCTTTGGGGGGAGGGATGGATTAATAGGGTATTCTGAACCCAAAATCTGCAAAGCAGTTCATATTATGTGCGTTCCATCACTAGTGGAAAAGGGGAGGTTTCGTGCAGTCTCACGGAAACTTCAAGTTGTATACGTACAGCTAGATCCTCTGCCGATTGTGTTACACGCAGTTCCCCACCACACTATCTCTACTAGTTTGCTGGTGGTTTCATCAGTAAGTTGGGTGAACCCATTTTTTTGTGCTTCACTTATACAACTCGATTTCCTGTACTTGATAGGAGCATCGGATCGCTAGTTCTGAATTCTCTTGATCGATTTATGAGGTGGTTTTACTCTATAGTGGCTTGGTCACGTCTTTCCTGTACCTTGTTCCCTGAGCAGAAACGATGCGGGGTGGGTGGCCGAGTTTGCTGCCTAACTTGGCAGTAAAGTGTGGAAGCAGTAACCAATGAATTCATCTTTGTTGGTAGCTTCCATAGGACCTTCAGTCACTAGACATCTTGCTCAGGGACACTGATGCTTTGGGCTCAGTGGCGTACGCAGTGAAGTGTCCCTTTCTGTTAGGATCGCCACGTCAACAAGAAAACACCCATCGCTATTACAGAGTTTGCGACCGGTCAGGCCGATTAACAACCCTTCTAAGTTCGTTCGATTAGTTCGTTTCGAATAATTCTCACTTAAGCACACTATGCCTACTGCTGGAGGTACATACCTATGTATACCTTAAAAGCGAAAGTTTGTGACTTTGGTTACTATTCTTCTTCCCCATGACAGTCTCTCGCCCGTAGCTTCTTACCTTTGGATCATCTGGTTGAACTGGCTGCGCATAAGGCTGAATGTCCTATCGAACAGGTGAAACCCAGAGATTTTCTTCACGAAATGCTCCGCTGGTTCAGGGAAGAATTTTTCAGATGGGTTGAAGATTTTTATTGTGACATATGTAAGGTAAGTGTTATTCGCTCCGTTTTCTCGTCAAACTTTTTCTCGTATCCGGTGTTCAATGAACGTCGATCATCATCAGCATCATCATCATCATTGTCAGCTGTGATAAGAGCGTACTTGCCGTACGGTGGTTGTAGCTGCCACAGTTTCGTTCACCGATGATTTGGGGAGGTGGGGTAGGTAGCTGCGCATTGGAGGCGGGAGCGTAAATAGAGCACTGTAGGTGGACTGCTAAGTGGGGGGATTGGGAAGGGAGCTATGCAGTGTACGCAGGATGCCGGTTTCCCCAATGTCGGGACTTCCCTTGTTACTGCTCCTACTGGTGGTGTTAGGTTCGTTGTTGGTTGTCTCGCAGAAATACGCATGTTGTTGAGAATCTTGAGAGGTGCCTGTGACCCCTCTCACTTGATCAAATTTCATTCTTCGGTGTCTATCCGTTTCGCTGTTCTAGTGAGAACCTGTGGTCCCATGTGTGAAGTTTGGTGGCCCGAAATGGGGTCCAGCAGAGATTTGCAAACTTTGCTTATCAGTAGGTGCAGCAAAACCCACTGTGGTACGTGTTGACCTCACCGGTCGTTTCAGGGAGTTAAAAGTTCTCGGTGGAACGTCAAGAAGGACCGACCAAAGGTAGTAGCTTTGAGAATAAACTGTCTAGAGATGAAATAACCGTTTATTTTTGTGGCACTATCTACACCGTTTGTGGTGTGTTGAGAATCATTCTGTTTTATCGACATACTTATTTTAAAGTGGGGTGTAGCGCACAGTTTCCTGAAGTCGCCCGTCGCTGTTGGTCTAAACTGTCAGTTTCTCAGTGTGCTTCGATCCAAATACGTCACTCCAAAAAAGTGCGAGATTGCTCAAGTGGTTAGAGCGCGAATTTACTGACCGGAGGGTCCGTGGTTCGAACCCGACCTCTGCCTCTCGACTTCACCTGTCTAGGCTTGGACAACCTGGCAGTATCCAAGTCCTCATGCTTCCTTCGGATGGCACGGCGGCTAAGCACCAAAAGGGTGTTACAGCTGAACGATTATTATTATTATTGTTATTATTATTATTATTATTATTATTATCTGAATTCAACCCAACCTTCGAACTTGATAAGCCCCTGCTCCGACACTGTTCAACAAGAAACACATATTTATGTTTGTGCTACTGTCTGTCAGTCTTAGAAATCGAGACACCAGCCACCACCACCCTTGCAGAAGAATTTGAAGATTATCTGGAAGAGATGGGTGTGTACCTTCATCTCTCCGTCTAAGGAACCGTCTAAAGCCGCAGGCACACGACCTTTCCTGGGAGTTGCATACAACGGCCGTCTTGCGTTGGTTAACTCTTCCGTAAGATGACAATTTGAATTCTCTTCTCTCAGTGACGGAAATCAATGACGAAAAGCTGAGAAGCTGTTTCATCCTTATGGCGACGAAACTGAGAGTTTCGAATCGGCCACCGCTTGACATTTGGGCCACGAGCGGTAGTGTGATTAGCTGTCAGTTGGATGAAGAGCATCGGTCATACTTCGATCAAATGATCCACATCACTGAATGACCTATTGATCAGGTTCCGGTTTGACAACTACTCAGTTTCACTCATCATATGAAATAATTATTCCTCTGAGTCGCGACCGATCGATTGATTGTAGTGTGAGTAGATTTGGTACTTGTCGATTGAGATTTGATTGTGTCGGTGAACACTGCGTACTGTTGAGCACTGTACAGCTGCTTCATTTTTATTCAGATCCATTAACCTGTGACGAAACTGAGAGAGCGCGAACTAGTGACCTTGCGGTTCATGTTTTGGATTTCTCCAGCTCTATTTCTTCTCCTAGCGAGTGCATCCTTTGTTGATCGTTCGTAGCCGGTTTGTAATAACGGCTCCCGAGGTTGTACTGGCTAGGCTCAGGTCAGATCCCTTCTTAACTCTACAATCTTTTCTGGTATTTTACCGAGCTACTAGGCTACTTAGGGTTACCTGGCACGGCAGCGCAGCAGCTAAAGTGTTGGGTGTGATCTCGAACGGGGGGCGAGATGGCTCAAGTGGTCAGAGCGCGAATTTACTAGCCGGAAGGTCCGTGGTTCGAACCCGACCTCTGCCTCTCGACTTCACCTGTCTAGGCTTGGACAACTTGACAGTATCCCAGCCCTCGTGCTTCCTTCGGGTGGTATGACACTTAGGCACCGAAAAGGCGCTACAGCTGAATGATTATTATTTATTGGTTATCTCGAACTGGTGTATACAGCATAAAGAATAGTTTGAACATACTTTAAGGATATGGCATCATTCAGTCACCTTTCAGAGTGTGACGGTCTTTCTTCTCTTGTTGAGCTTTCATCCTCCTTAGTATAGGCGATTTTTGAATGAAACTGAAACCTGTATACCATTTCAAGTGATCCTAACAATTTGTGAACCCAACGTATTGGTGGACCGCCAATAGTGTTTCGCAGTTTGTTAAACTGACTGGCTTCTTTCAGGGTAGCTAATCATCCGTAATCCCACGTCGTTCGGCGTTCAATGTCGTCTCTCTTCCTTGGTGTTGATGCACCGGACGAATCGTGCCAGAACAGAAAAGTTGAATTGCATTAGCAGCTACGTGTCCGTTTCCACGCCACGATTTTCCATGACCTATGAATTCAGACGTTACCATTTTATTTTATAGTACTTATATATACATATACGTATTATATATCCTTCCATCTTATCTGTCGTTTTCAGGCCAAAATGAACTTAGCGGAAATCGCACCTCCTTGGGGGTCAGAAATTGAAGGTGATGCTCAAATGGTGGAGGTCTTTCGCTGTCCATCTGGCCACTCTGTCCATCGGTTTCCCCGATACAACAACCCGGCGACTCTACTGCAAACGCGTTTTGGTCGATGTGGTGAATGGACCAGCTGTTTTATACTGCTTCTTGTGTCTGCTCGTCGTCCCTCGAATGTGGACGGAGGAAGACCGTGGTTTCCCGCATGCCGTTACATTTCTGATCTGTCCGATCATGTATGGTGCGAAATGTGAGTGAGGTGTGAAGTGTTTCAGTTCGTGTCGCGTGTTGGGCGGCATCAACTGCTTCCTTAGTCCTTCGTTGTACTCCCGCGGACAATGTACTGCAGCAACTTGTCACTTTGATTGCGGTGGGGGAGATTCGCTTCGATCCCCTCTTGAGATTTGAACAACCTTCTGTTCCCCAAAATGGTCGATTCACGCCCAATCTGTCGGTGTAGTTAACGTGCGTACAAACGGCTGGTACGAAGCTCGGCGAGCCCAGACTACCCGTATTTCAACGAATGCTGTCAGCCATCTTGCTTCACTTACTGAATTGACAGATTTTAAGATTTTTAAATCTTTATATATTGGCATCGCAAACAAAAGCCTTGAAGCTTAAACTTCACACATAGCACTTGGGGATTCTAACCGTGACTTCATTCAGGAGAAGTTTCGCGTGACCAGGGGACACTTTGGATGCTTTTACTGGAGGATGTACTTAAAGGTTACGATACACAATGTCGTGTTAGCCATGTAGATATTTTAGAGTGATTTTTTCGAATGTTCTGGTATTTCCGAAAGATTTTGTTTCTGAGTTGTGGGATTCCAGACATTACCTCCAGCCACGAATTGTTCAATGTGATTCAGTCGATCAGCCTGTCATGTAAGGCTCACCTCAGTTTCTCCAAATTCCGTCTAATAGACTCTTGTCAATTCCCGTTTTTCTCTGCTCATTCCAGCTGGTTGGAAGACCCGGATTCCGGAGACTATCGTTGGGTACATTGCGACCCTAGTGGTGAGGTCGATCAACCTCTTCTCTATGAATGTGGTTGGGGCAAGGAGCTCCAATACGTATTTGCTTACACCATTCCCCCACTCTGCTTCGATTTTTCTGACCCTCAGTCTCTTCAGGCGGTCGACATTCAGGACGTGACATGGAGGTATACAAGAAATTTTAAGGAAGTGAGTGGATGGCCTTTTTGTCACCTAAACGTGTCATCGAGTGACGAGTGCATCGTGAATTCTCTTCGATAATATAACTGAATCTAGTGTTAGACTGGAGACGCTGCCTGTACAGGGTGGGAGTACATCCGTTTGGCACTTCGATACACTAACCTAGTGAGTTACCAGAAAACCCTCGTCTAGTGTCTTATTACAAATGAGGCGCGAACGAAAGCCGTATTTTGAAGAAAAGAATAAAAATGGATGGGGAAGGGACTTGTTGCTGATTTACCACAATCTTTCCGAGTTGCCCAGGTCTACATACACTCATTTAGACAATCTGCATAGAAACTGACGACAGGAACTTCACTGACACTGAATAGCAGCCATATCATGCAACGTTTTCAATCAGACACAGTGGGGATCACGTGGTCCCCATCCTGGAAGGCGAGTCGTGCCGACAGCACCCGACTTTTGGTAAACTTTTTCATACTCCTCTGCCAGGCCAAAGATTGACCACCTCTCTGCTTGCGTCACTCACGATTGGGCACGGAAAAAAGCACTCTCTTTGGCAAACGGTGATTCGGTACGCGCAATAATACCTGGCCTAATCACCGCAGCTCTGGATGTTTCTGTCCTTGTGGCACAAGCGAACACTCATTTTCAAGGACAAGCACCGCTCTCCTTACGGACAACTTGCATGAAACTCACTTTTGTTTTTTATTTAGTTGGTTTTCTGTTAGTTGTAGGCTATGGGCAATGGATTGGGCACGGAAAAAAGCACTCTCTTTGGCAAACGGTGATTCGGTACGCGCAATAATACCTGGCCTAATCACCGCAGCTCTGGATGTTTCTGTCCTTGTGGCACAAGCGAACACTCATTTTCAAGGACAAGCACCGCTCTCCTTACGGACAACTTGCATGAAACTCACTTTTGTTTTTTATTTAGTTGGTTTTCTGTTAGTTGTAGGCTATGGGCAAGCTCAGTGGAAACTCAACGTTCGAAGTTGGATACGCAGTAGTGAAATTCGCGGCTTATCCCACTCACTCCTCTGATTGATCCATTCTGGATTAGAGATTCTGAGGAGTCTTTGGCATGGTTTTCCCCTCGTCGATCGCAATATGCGGCTAATCATGATGACACGTTTTTGAGTGACAACTTTGATGTTCCTTCTATACGCTGAACACATCACATCTAACCAATTCGAACAAAGACCGGTGACGGGAGCGTGCAAAGTTAGTCCTGGTTGGGGAAGGAAATGCTCCGGGGTGTAGATTTCTTCTGGATGCTACCGGTTCATATTTAGGAGTATAAAAAACGTGAGAAGAATTATCCCAGTTGGCATGTTGGTTTGTATGTTCCAAATAATTCATTCCTCCTTCATATAACTGTTTCGGCAGTATAATAATAAATAAAAAAATATAAATTGTTCAGCTCTAGTACCCTTTCTGCGCCTTACTGCCATGCCACGAGGGCGGGGAGACTGCCAGGTTGTCCTAGCCTAGACAGGGGAAGTCGAGAGGCAGAGGTCGGGTTCGAATCACGGACCTTCCGGTCAGTAAATCCGCGCTCTTACCACTCGGGCCATCTCGCCCCCCTCCAGCCAACTATTTCATGTATGATATACAGGACAATATATCACATAATATGCACAATAAATTGGATATAAAACTCAAGGTGAGACTAAAGATTCTGATAGACACTTGTCCCCTCCGATAGAGACTCCCTGACGGGATCCCTTGGACTGTTTCCACAAACAGTTCGGTTATAGGGAACAAATGCCTATTGGGCACGGTCTTGGAATAGATGAAGCACTTGCCCGGGTGACGACGTATGAAAATGCGACCGCACAATTCCCACCCAGTGTGGATGTTAAGTTTGTACAACATTAACCGAGATATTGCTTGAGTCACAATCAGATGGAATCGGAATAAAGACTGCTTGAGTCTTGGATTTGGAGATCCATTTGGACTTCATGAGAACTAGGCTCTGAATTTCGTCTAATGAAAGATATTCATGTAAGAAGAGGTTATTCGAAGATTGTGTGCGGCAGTATAGTGGTCGCGCTCGCACATTGTGTGACGCTCGCGTGTTTTCCGCACCATTTGGGGCTTATCTGTATGGTAGAATACCAATCCATGTTCGATAAGTTTCGTCCCATACTTGTTGTTGTATATCCCGGAGAAGGGATGGTTGTTTGCTGTCATTGACGCGGTTGAGCTGTAGAGTTTCGTCAGCCTCATTCCCAAAGTTGCTGTTTTCTTACAGATATAATCCTGTATTGCGATGAACTCATTCTGTTGCTGAAGGGGATTTTTTGCTTTTCTAGATCATATCCCGTCGCAAATATTTTTCCGAAGGATATTTGGCCGCCTACCTGGTCAACATTCATCTAACTGCAGTTGCTGCTTGGAACATGAAGCGTAGTTTGGTCCCTGGGGATGATGTTCAAAATCCCTTCTCAATGCATCAGGTAATACGTGAACTGTGCTCCTTTTTTAAACCTCCCAAAGCACCGGAGCGGCCGTTGCCTGGTCGCAGAACCGGTCCATTGGAGTGGCGGCGCGCTCGTGGTGAGCTGGGCCCGGGGGGTGTGTCAGCAGAACCCAGTTGGGAGGGGTAAGTGATCCGCTCTCTCATCTTCAATTCATTTGTTTAATTGTTGGAAACGGCTCACTGAACTATCCTGAAAGCCGAACTTTCTGTGACGCGCCTACTCATCAATGCGACTTAGTCTTATTGGGGTCTACTACGTCTTGGACTTGTTAGTGCTCTGGTTGTAACGTAATTCTCAGAAGGTGGCAAGCTCTAACAAAAGTCCGTTTTACCAGGATGCTGATGATCACATTAGTTACGTGCATTTGATAAAAATAGATACAGTGCGAAATGTGGAATAAGCCAATAATTGACTTATCGTTTGAAGACAACCGGTGAAAGTTGCTGAGTGAAGTTCCGGACGCGGGATATGTCTTCTCTGCACTATAGCCGCAACGCGTGGTTAGCCGTGGAGACTTGCGGAGCTCGGTTGACTTCCTGTCCTGTGCGCGCGTGTTTTGGGCCGGGTTTTATGCCTACTTTGTGTTCAATGTGAAGAGAGGGGTTGCACGAACATGAATACAACTTGCACGTGCAATTTGGTTTCAAGTAGAACATAAGGTTGACGGAAACCCGGGGACTGCGCCTACCTGATGAGCCCCAAGAAGGGCGAAACCGATCGTGGGCTGTTGATGGATTTTCAGCAACCTTATGAGTAGTATATTACAAATATATACATGCATCGCGATATTTCAAATATCGTAGCGACTGAAACATGAGGCGGCCTGGTGCAGCACATTCAGTTGCCCTAGAACATCATAAACCAAAGATTCAGTTGGGTCCCAGGTGAGTCTCTCGAAAGAACCAAATTGGTTTGCAAATGAGTGTATATTCGCTAATTGACTTGATGTGGTTGAAGTTCGTAAGCCTGGCGCGTGACGTAGGTGGTAGCCGCGTAAACAAAGATGGGTGGGAAATCGTAGTGTGCACGCTGTCGGCTAAGGTTGCGAGTGGGACAGGAATTGTCACGTGGTTTGAGTGTTTGTGACGCGTGATCTATTGGGTAACCTCTACAGACGGTAACGTGGATGCCACAAAATAGGAGAGCGCGTTTGATCATACTTCATCGGAACATGACGGGAACATCTGTTAGTCTAATCAGAGCAGTGGGCAAGTAAAGTCACGGTCGAGCACAGTTTGACAATATTGTGGATCCAGTGACATTTGGCTTTTCTGAGTTGTTTCGAATTGACCAGAATCTTTTCAGGTGCTGGTCACTCTACTGGTGGCTCTCGTGCGTCATTCTTGTCGGGTAACTGAAGTGACATTTAGGAGGGCGTGTCTGAGCATGCCGTATTTAGTACATCATTTGTCTCATACTAATCACTTTTGTGGTCTCCTTGTTATCCGTGACTGTGTTGCTCGAACCATAGTCCTGGAAAGTTTTTTTGAAAATTGGCTGTCTTACCAGTCACAAAACACTTGGTACAGGGTTTGCATACAATCGCTGCCCCCCCCCCCCATCTGGGAGCACCTGATCAAATGGAGCTACGCGAATTTGGCTGCATAAGACTGCGCTGACCAACAGAGTTCAGTACGAACGAACTGTCATAATCTGTGACCGGTTTAGTGAGCTATTGACCATGAAAAGAAAAACGAACTAAGCCGTTAATCGGTTTGAATATTAAACCGTAATGAAAGAACACTTTTCAGCAACCATGTGAGTAGTTTCTTTTCGTACAAATAACGATGTGGGGGTGGAGCTTGGGCACCAGACTAGACCCTACATTGCATGTTTCGTCAATGGTATACAGGGGCGAGATAGTCCAAGTGGTTAGAGCGCGAATTTACTGACTGGAAGGTTCTTGGTTCGAATCTGACTTCTGCCTCTCGATTTCCCCTGTCTAGGCTTGGGCAACCTGGCAGTATCCCAGCCCTCGTGCTTCCTTCTGGCGGCATGGCAGCTAGGCACCGAAAGGGTGGCACAGCTGAACGGTTTTTTCAATGGTATACATCGTTGCGTCAGTAGTGAGTGGTTGGCCACACGAATCGACTTGATAGTGACGTTTTTAGTTTATCAGCTAGCTATCTTTGAACTACCGGCTGCGAGCTTACTGAGAGGAAGTTTTTTTGGTTCAAACTCAACTTCAGAATCTCGACTGCTGCTGCTGACTAGGTTTGGACAACCTGGCGGTATCTCGGCGTTCGCGCTTCCTTGGCAGTTGGGCACCGAAATGTCTTCACAACTGGACGATTTCTATATCACCCTGGCCGACTGTCGTCGATATTCGCAACTCGCTACCAGTCAGAAACACGACAGTAGGATCACAAATTTGATGGCGAATGGCGTCTATTGATAAAACTGGTCACCCAGCTGATCCTCTGCTGGTGTGGCCCCAACTCCTTAGCTATTCAAATTCAGTCAGAAGAGTCTATTCTGGGCTAAAACAAATACTCCCTCCTTTGTTTCTCTTCTGTTCTTGATCTAGCGATAATATTGTTCTTGAACCTTCCACCGAAGAGTTGAAAAACGGCATGTTCTACCTCAGATACAACTCTGCCTTGGACATTTATCAGCGACCTTTTTTGAATGAGGGGGAACGTACTTGGACCGGTCAGTCTTCGAAGAATTCGGATGAATTGATCAAACATGCAACGGACGCTGGGCTTTCCGGCTGGCGTTCCGTGGCCAATAGATGGCGAAATATAGACAGAAAGGTAAATCACTGTGGAACTTTTGGTGGCCCCTATTGCTTTGGATTCATACCATCACCATCTGTTGGCGCTCGACCACTTGAACAAAGAAACCACTCACGAAGTGCATACGTGTTAGGAAAAGAATCAACCAAACGTCTGATAACCCTATATGGAGAAAGCAACCATTTGAAACCCTTACATAAGAAGATTATTGCATCGGGGCGCAGGATATGTTTATCCCTATTGCATATCGCACCTATCACTCCCTCAGCTAGCTGTCTGGACGCTTAAATGGTTTTCCGTGAACTTGCGGCCGCTTGTAGTAGACGCACAGAGTGATCGTTGTAGATGCATTCGTGGAGCTTTCGCAGAATTTCCCGCAAGGTCGCACCATAGGCGCTCGGTTCCGATTGACTCATTTTCTTGCCACTTGCGGCCTGAAACTATATGTTCGATAAATTGGAAAATGTTTGGGACCGATTGGGAAGTCATCGTTTCAGAAGGGTTTGGTAAACAATCGGTGGATTTATTCCTGAGCAACGTTCATATAGGTTTATATAGGTCAGACAGCCAGGGAATTGCACACCAGAATCGGTGAGCATAAGCGTTCCATTAACAGACCACCGAGAAACGCAGAGGAATACCAGGTGTTAGTCAAATATTCGACAATGGCAGGGCATGCTCTAGACACTGGGCATAGGATAGAGTTAGGGAATGTGGACATCCTGAGACGGGGTTTAAGATTCACACCACAGCGATTGGTGGCCGAGGCGGTGGAAATCGCCAAGCATCCCGGTGTGAATAGAATAGAGGGGGTAGAACTTGCAAACATGTGGAGAGCGGTCTTAGATCAGCTGAGATGACACAAGACAGTGTGCAGTTATCAGCGAAATGACCTGGGTCTAAAAGTATGAAATCCAAGTATAGTTAGATCCAATTAACCACCCCACCACCATCCCAAATCAGTTGTCTTAGCACCCTTGGACGAACACAGGTGAACGAAATCTGTTAACGACCCCAAGAGGAATTTTCCATTAAGGTGTCCTAGAGTGAAGAAGCGAGGACGAAAAATTTGGGTTCGTCATAAAGACGAATCCCCCCTAACTAATCTATCGTAAATCTTAGTCATCCCCACTAATCAACAAACAGGAACATCAGACTGAACATCCAACACTGATCAAGTCACTAGTTATAAGGAATCTCACGGATTTGTTCCCTGACTGCCTTAAAACCCCAATCAATCTACTTACTTACTCACTTGGCCTGACGAAGCTTTTGTGTCAAAAGCGAAACGTTGCCCAGCAATAAATCCACCGACTGTTTACCAAACCCCTCTGAAACGGAAGGTGTTCGATAGTTATACCTTATTTCGAATCCACTGTTTATTTGTACGAGTTCACCCACCAGTACTGGGAATTAAATCGTGTTGTTTCTTCAAGCAGCTATGTTGGCTCAATGAGCGTTCTTTTAAAAAAGGTGTGACCTTGAATTCCATTCAGAATACTTCCTTTCTAAACTATAGAGCAACTTGGGTGTGATCCATTATTCTTTCCTCAAATAGTATTTAGGTGTGTGGCTCAAAAGTAACGACGTTCCGAAATTTTTCTTTGCTGGTGAAAAACCGGTTACATGACGCGTAGGACTTGCGAATATTTTTGAATGAAATGATCAACACAATGCACTTCATACTTGATATGATATCGTTGAACGATAGTCAAGGTCGGAATGCAGTGAAGTGGGCTTCGATTAGTTCGCTGGCACTGTAGATGAATAAGCAGTGAAGATGACACTACTACTAAAATCTACTAAAATCTTTGAAACGAAATTTGGTGCTCTTGTCGGAAAGCATGGAACTCGCCGTGATACACTTGACTGTTGTTTTTTTTATTTCTGCATGATAACAACGCGGTCTGTCTCGAATTTTAGGTTTTTTGTGCAGGTCATTTTAGATCGTTGTTTCGTTTACACTTTGAGACAAATACCGGAGACCAGTTCAACCATTTGGTTTTGGAATCGATGCAGTAGGATCCCCTCGGAGCGGACGGACGCCCGAATAGCCGTTGTTTTTAACAGATATTTTGTGAGTTTACTCCAGTGGCTAACATACTTTCAACCTCATCATTGACTGTGCTCATTCTGTGCCTGGCACGATCACATCCCACAAAAAATAGTTGGTTTCATTTTAATGCCCCCTTTGAATTTCTGTAATGTACCATGCCTTCCGGTTTTCACCTGACCATGGATTTCATCATTTCTGTCACTCAGGTGGAACATGACTGGAAGATGGTCTATTTGGCCCGTAAAGAAGGAAGCCCAGCTCATCATGAGGGCATCATCGAGTGGAAGCTGCGTGTTCCTTCAGAGGAGTATGTTATTGGAAAGGTAGTGTCTGCTCCTATTTTATCATTCAGATCGATTTGGCCCTGTTACGTCCACCGCGTCGGAATAGAATACACCAGATTGGTGACTAGTCATGAGTAGGTCTTGAAAGCAAAACCATTTTGTTGTGCAAGGTTAAGGCAATACTAGTTTCTGCATATTGGGATCACCTATGACCCTAGCCGACTAGCAGCCTGCGATTTGACCTGTGGGCTACCTGTGGACTTGTCAAACGATTTTCCACACTAACTACCTGCACGGGAATGAGTAGTCAAACCACACCTCAATTAATCCTCCAACGGGCTTACGTGTCAATACCAGGTGTGCGCTCTATCGTCTTCCCCCGAGGAAGGACTGATTAAGAAAAAAGTTTATTCTGACCTCCTAACAGTTGGCTGTTATCATCGTTTGTCGAAATACTTCTAAAACCAAGGAGTCGATATCGTTCAGGACCATCCTTTCTACCTTTCCTTTGGACTATGAATTAGAGGTCCCATGTGCCTCTTCATCAGTGGGAATGTCTTCAAATTTCGGACCTTCCAGGTTCATTTACACTAGCCCTTCGGTAGTGCATCATCCAGTATTGCCTCATGGTCGCATAGCCTGGCTGCCGTGCGTTGAAAATCAAATGAGAATAGCATGCCGAATATCTATAGTCGCAGAACTTTTACGGCTGCTGTGCGTTGAAAATCAAATGAGAATAGCATATAGCTGCCGAATATCTATAGTCGCAGAACTTTTAGCATTGCCGGACCGATGAAACAGTGATTGATAATCGCGAGTCAGTGCGGAATCGAGATATTGTGTATACGTAACGGGCGTTCTCCACATTCGGACGGGTTATTTGTTTATTTAAGCCAATTCGAAGTGTGAAACGATGATGTAGGACTGTTTAATTGTAAACATTCAGTGAACTCGACGGTCCTCTAGTTTCCGCCCTTCGCTCGCGTTTATGGTGGGTTTCAACGTCTTGGCGTTATGGGTGAATTCTACCCCAGGAGCTTGTTAAAAACTCACCTGTAGGATTTACGCAGTGGTCACACACATGTAACCATGTCCACACACCGACCAGATTCCGAAGGATGGTCTCTTAATTCAACGTGCTCTCGGTCACAGAAGGCCCGCGTTCAATTCACAAACGGGTAGAATCCATCGCACCCTTTTGAAGTAGATTTTGCCTTAGGGCCTTTGCAAACCTGTTTGTAACGAACGTCCTATCATCTTTAGATCACACCAATGTCCACATTGTTCTTCAGTACTATTCTGTATGTAGATGGAGAGACAATAGAGAGTAGGGATGTGTACAAGACAAGAACAACAATTCAGTGACCTACGTTGTTGAGAACCGGATACGCTGTTAAATCCATTTATATTGCTGTAGCATTTACTTTCTGTTTGCTTCCCCCTCAGGTCTCGCTGTTCGCCAATCTTGTTTCACACTCTGTCGACAGTATGGCTGTGTTTACTTTGTGTTCTGGGTTTGACACCGAATCCGCGGAACCGGCCGCAGGTTGTTCTACGGCTACTACCTCTGCTGCAGGAATCTCTGTTCCTCTCTCACCCGGCTCAGATCCACTGTTCAGCATCACGCAGTTCCAAGGATGTAAACAAATTGCCCTAAAGGGTCGCCTCTGGACAAAGACTAACTCGGATGAAGAGCGGAATCCAGTTGCTTGGCAACAAGCGCAGTTGTTCCGACAAAAGGTACACAACAGTTTCACTTCTGGTTGACCAATAATTTTACCTCTGGTGCACACCGACGAAATAAGACGTACTCTGAAGGTTATCTATCTTGCAAATTAGCTTGGCTGTGGATGTGAGGTTTTCTTGTACCACTTGACTCCAGATGTCACAACATTTTACTTGGGCTTAGGGATTGATTTTTTTTGTACTGGTGTGTGGGACGGACGTATCGCACGACATTAAACTGTATGCTGATTATCTTACGTCAGTTTCTTTGTGGTCTACTGCTTGATTACGTTCAACCACCTGAGTGTAAACAGGTCATGAGTTGTGGCCCAACTGTTCGAATCCGAATAGTGTCACTTTAGTGCAGTACTTTTATATGCGCCGGTAGTTCCGGGTTGTGGCTGTCTACTCTGCGCTGGCAACAAAGTTCCAAATGGCTCATTGGTTAAGGCGCAAATTGACTGACCGAGGAACGTCCTTGGTTCCATGCCAACCTCACTAGCTCAACTTATCCTGTCTAGACTTGGGCAAATGGACCAGTCCTCGAGCTTCCAGCTGGGAACCGAAAGTGTGTTGTAGCTCAGCGGTTATTATTATTTGGTTTGAGGACCTCGTTCGCAAATTTACAGTTCGACATATGGGGGCCACTACAGGCGAGTTGCTGGATTCATGCAGCTGGTCGTGAAATCAGCGTTGTCGTGCGGTGTGATGGGAATTCTAACGGCCTATCTTGTTTTCAGCATAATTCTCCGGAAGCTGTGGTCGACAGCCCGTAGTCTCTGGATATGCTCGTATCACAGTGGCCAGGTGTCGCGTTCATCTAGAAGAACAGGGCTCACTGAATTTCGGTTTTCGGACCAACCTTAGCTGTACGTTACAGTTGTTGTGTTACGTGATTCTAG